ATATGTGTATAATAAAGAGATTTATATACAAGAGCAATTAAAATTGAGAAAACATCCCAGCCCAGTCCAGATCAAGTCCATAAGTCCGATATTAGCTCATATTTCGGGTATTAATCTATAAAGTCCTCTCCAGTCTCACAAAACACATCCAATGACTCCAAATGCAGAAGATCACAGGCCAGTGGGTAGACAGTCTTTGGATCCAGTGTCATTGGAAACATCTCAGTGCTGGCAGGGGTCTCTCTGTGGTTTCTCTGGAGAATTAATTGTCAGGTCTTTACCCAACGGTAAGGAGCACGCATGGAAAACAAAGACTTTCTCCATCCCTATGGGTCTCATCTTTTTCTAATCAGAGGTCACACATTGTGACCCAGGGTGTTTTTGAACTTGAATGTCCTTAAGTGCTGCAAGCACATTCCAATTTAATTGTTAGTTGCTTAGGCTTCAAAGATATTTGTGTTTGTTCTAGAAATTATTTCAAGCCTATAAAATGTAATGCATACTGTTAATACTAGAAACACTTTCATGTTCCACTCAGTTGGTTAACAAAATTGAGTCAAAACATAATGAAGTGCCGAATATTTTCATACATGTGGCTATTTAAAGATTCAATGTTGCTAAGGTGGACTACTGCTGGATAGGAAGAAAACCACTGCCATCGAGTCAGTGCCAACTCATTGTGACCCTACAGGGCAGATGGAACTGCTCCTGTAGGTTTCTGAGATGTAGCTCTTCACAGGAGTAGAAAGTCCTGTCTGACAGGAAGATACTCATAAAAACTCAAATTATTATTATTTTATTTATCAGCAGTGATTTGAAAGTTTCCATTTAAAATGTTAAGATTGGGCTCAAATTATAACGAACACAACAAGATGTTGGAAATTCAAATGCCTGAACGTTGATGACCATTTATTAATTGGTTAATTGTACTGCTTATTTGGGTTTGGATTTCAGTTTAGTCTTGCTGTTGGGTTTGAAGAGCGTTTAGAGCCCCATTGGCACTCCTACTAAAAGAGAAGTGGTGGAAGCATAAGCCGCTACTGCCATTGAGTCAATTCTGATGGCTGCCTCAATCCTGCCCTCCTAACAGGCACTTTAGGGGCCACACACTCAATGCCCCCGAGGAGTGTTCTTTCTGGTTGGTGGCACTGTGATCTGGTGTCTAACACCTCCTGGGGAAGCTAAATAGGCTCATGTAGCATCTGGGAGCTAGCCAACTGCCTTGGCCTCAGACAGCAGGTCAAAGGTATGAGTCCTTGGAAAAGAACGTGGAACCAGCTAGGAACATTGACCGGAAGCATTTTCAAGGGATCCTGCCCAATAGTTTGCCAACGCTGGGAGCTCCTCAGTTATCAGTACCACTGCATCAAGGTGCAGTGAAGACTGGCTAGAGGCGAGTATTTAGAGTTGGATGAGATTAATGGTTCCCCCATTAAATATTGATGGGTTCAGTACTAGATTTTAAAGGTCAAGGGTCATAGTCTTGAGGGTGCCACCTGTCTCCTTCTGACCAATCAACCTAGTCTCTTTTATCCTGTCTGCTTCTGAGTTGCGTTGTCTTGTTAGCTCCGCTGGGCTCCTTACACCGACATTTCATGCTAGTTGTGGGCATTCTCCTTTTTGAGTGGGGACACAGACCCTACGAGTTTGTATTAATAAAGTGAGATGAAATAGCTCCCACTGAGAAGTTTCAAACAGCTTTTAGAGAGAAAAGTAAACTATGCAGTCTGCATATAGTTCACAAATTGTGATTATAAATGTACACATATATGGTGTCTTACTTAAATCTCAATTAGGAGCATAGAATAAAAAATACTTTTAAAAAACATCAGGTTTATTGCTTCCCGGCCCTTTGGCTTAGATCAAGTGTAGTTAAAAAAACCATCAGGCTTATTACAAATATGAAATTAAGAATAATCATTAAGTAACCAGTAATTAAAGATGAAATACAATGTTACCTTGTTATAATGAAGCCATAAATACTTTAATTTTTTAAACCTTGAAAGATCAATCACATCTGTGAGTTCCCTAGAAGAACAACAAAAATAAATCACGTGAACATTTGTGTCTTAATTTACTCCTCAAACTTTCATTGCTATCGAGTTGATACTAACTCAGAGTGACCCTATAGCACAGAGTAGAACTATTCTTGTGCGTTTCTGAGACTCTAACTCTTAACGGGAATAGAAAGCCTCCTTTTTCCTGAGGAGTGAGCTTGTGGTTTTGAACTGGTGGCCTTGCAGTTAGCAACCCAACTCATACCACTATGCCACCAGAGCTCTTAGGCTTGATGGAGAGGGCTGGGATTTCCCATTTATTCCTAGGTCAAACTAAACATACAAATATTATGTTTTGGTGGTAACTAGAAAGATGTCTCTCATTGCCCTTCAAAAAATGATGACCCATTTATCTGTTAATTTTTGAGATGCCATTAACTTAATTCATTTGGATTAAAATTTTGTAGACAAAGCTATTTTAAAAAGGAAAGCATTTTAGCACATTAACATGCCTTTATATTTCATCATGCATTTGTGTTAGTTGGGGTAGACTAGAGAAACAAATTCATAGACTCTCATATATGCATGAGAAAGAGCTTTATATACAAGAGCAGTTGAATATTGAGAAAACATCCCAGCCCAGTCCAGATCAAACCCATAAGTCTGTTATTAGCCCATATGTCTGATACCAATCTATAAAGTCCTCTTCAGACTCATGAAACACATGCAGTGATGCCTAATACAGGAAGATCACAGGCCAGTGGGTGGGAAGTCTTGTAGATCCAGTGGTGTTGCAAGCATCTCAGCACTGTCAGGGGTCTCCATGTGGTTCCTCCTGCTCAGGGCACTAGGGTAGCTCCATGTGTCTTGTCAGCTGCAATGACCCACAGGGAGTGAGCCAACAGAGAGAGTGGTGGGGGGGGGGCGGGAAGGAAGGAGGGAGGGGAGGAGAGGAGAAGAGAGAGAAGAGAAGAGAAGAAAAGAGAAGAGGTCTGCTGCCTCCAGGGAGGAATACCAGAGTTCCCAGAATCCTCAGGAGAAGGCCATGCCAACATGGAGACCTCATTAGCTATATCCCGATTGACAGGCTAGTCTCCACCCCTACACTCTTAATCCTCAAATTGACACCAGATTATGAAACTACCACAGCATTTGTTGGGGGAAATGGCAGTGGAAAAACAAGCATAGAAGATACTGGACTTTGAAAATAAATGTGCAAAATGCAAATGAGTAAAGAATTTTATTTTCTATTTATTGTTGATTAATTATGGGGTCAACATATTACCCAGCTCTCTAGAACTTTTGCTGTCCAAGTGGGAGTTGGAACTAGTAGTGTAGCTCACTCCGGGAAGGGGCAGCCCAAGGTGGGGTGGGGCAGGTCGCTGTCAGAAACACATAGGTGTGTATACATCAAGCATAGGTGGACGTTTGGCCCACCTTTTCTGGAGTATTCAGAACTCTTTCTTTTGTCTTCAGAGTAGAAATTGTGGGCCCAGACATCTATACATATATGAAGATAAGTCAATAAAGCATTCCTCCTAGGGGGGAATAGGTATATTTCAAATAAAATGTGTTTCACTATGTCTCTGTGATCAGAGGATGTCTGTAGAGAAATTATCTCAGTAATACACTGTCTTAGCCTCCTTTGGGTTCTTTCAAAAACGAGATTTGATTGAAACAGTGGCTTCTGAGGGGATGGGCTGGGTCAATTAAATGTAAACCAAAGAGGTCAGTCAGCTCAGAAGTTTTGGGTGACTGTGTTTTGGGATTCCTAAGGGTACTCTCCACACATTTTCTCAAAGGCTATGTAACTGTCACAACAACTTATTAGACAAAACGTTTTAAGAGAACGGAAAACTACATTGGTGAGAAAAAGGCTAGCAAAGTTGTGCTGAGATTCTTTTTCCCCCTTCCCATGAATGAGCACCTGTTCATCCTTCCAGGGTAACAAGGACTGTCACACAAAAATATTGCTGGAAAACTTTACCTTCTCTAACCTACAGCTCCGCTATTGCCTCTTCAGAAATCTTATTTTCCCCCAAACTCAAAGAATATGTACAGAAACAAGCCAACATGAGGTGGCATCCTTGCGGACACCCAAACTGCCATTTGGCATTCTTTGGGGTAAAGGCTAGAGAGAGAAACACCACCCTCAGAAGTGGAGAAACCGGCCTGGAGGCTATGTCAGGAAACCATAGTGCCATATTTTTATATTTTTGTTTAATAACAGTTTCTATGGTTGTTGACTCACCCTGGTATGCATCTGCTTGGCAGTTTTCTAAGTACTTTAACTAAGGTTAAGTCGATATTGCATATATTAGCTCATTTATGGTAACCCACTCATAATTTTATCTATTTCTTTATGATGGTGAACAAGTGTCCTCTTCATTTTTTTCTTAGGCCTGAGACTTGTGTCAGTCTTTTTCTTTACCTTAGGCTTTGCACTGCAAACTAGATGAAGGTTCAGAGAGTAGGCTGATGGTGCCCGGCTGTCAAGATATATAGAATCTGGGGTCCTATCGGCTGGAAGATAAACAAGGGGCCATCTAACGGAGAAACAACAAAGCCCACATGGAAGAAACACACCAGCCTGTGAGAACACAAGGCATCGAAGGGATCAGGTATAAGGCATCAAAGACCCCCCCCCAAAAAAAAATCATAGCATTGTGAATGAGGGGGATTGCGGAGTGGGTTGTATTAATAAAGTGAGATGAAATAGCTCCCACTGAGAAGTTTCAAACAGCTTTTAGAGAGAAAAGTAAACTATGCAGTCTGCATATAGTTCACAAATTGTGATTATAAATGTACACATATATGGTGTCTTACTTAAATCTCAATTAGGAGCATAGAATAAAAAATACTTTTAAAAAACATCAGGTTTATTGCTTCCCGGCCCTTTGGCTTAGATCAAGTGTAGTTAAAAAAACCATCAGGCTTATTACAAATATGAAATTAAGAATAATCATTAAGTAACCAGTAATTAAAGATGAAATACAATGTTACCTTGTTATAATGAAGCCATAAATACTTTAATTTTTTAAACCTTGAAAGATCAATCACATCTGTGAGTTCCCTAGAAGAACAACAAAAATAAATCACGTGAACATTTGTGTCTTAATTTACTCCTCAAACTTTCATTGCTATCGAGTTGATACTAACTCAGAGTGACCCTATAGCACAGAGTAGAACTATTCTTGTGCGTTTCTGAGACTCTAACTCTTAACGGGAATAGAAAGCCTCCTTTTTCCTGAGGAGTGAGCTTGTGGTTTTGAACTGGTGGCCTTGCAGTTAGCAACCCAACTCATACCACTATGCCACCAGAGCTCTTAGGCTTGATGGAGAGGGCTGGGATTTCCCATTTATTCCTAGGTCAAACTAAACATACAAATATTATGTTTTGGTGGTAACTAGAAAGATGTCTCTCATTGCCCTTCAAAAAATGATGACCCATTTATCTGTTAATTTTTGAGATGCCATTAACTTAATTCATTTGGATTAAAATTTTGTAGACAAAGCTATTTTAAAAAGGAAAGCATTTTAGCACATTAACATGCCTTTATATTTCATCATGCATTTGTGTTAGTTGGGGTAGACTAGAGAAACAAATTCATAGACTCTCATATATGCATGAGAAAGAGCTTTATATACAAGAGCAGTTGAATATTGAGAAAACATCCCAGCCCAGTCCAGATCAAACCCATAAGTCTGTTATTAGCCCATATGTCTGATACCAATCTATAAAGTCCTCTTCAGACTCATGAAACACATGCAGTGATGCCTAATACAGGAAGATCACAGGCCAGTGGGTGGGAAGTCTTGTAGATCCAGTGGTGTTGCAAGCATCTCAGCACTGTCAGGGGTCTCCATGTGGTTCCTCCTGCTCAGGGCACTAGGGTAGCTCCATGTGTCTTGTCAGCTGCAATGACCCACAGGGAGTGAGCCAACAGAGAGAGTGGTG